GGGCTCAGAGGATGATGCCAGCTGAGGTCAACATCACTTTTCAGCTGTTCTCATTCACCCCAGCGATTTCCCACTCTAAACTTCACTCCTGAAGTGGACCCTTGTACCCATGTAAGGAAAGGTCTGATTCTGTACCACCCAGAGTTCTGTCCAAGCTCATCACCTCAGAGTCTCATGGAACTAAGGTTTACAGTTCCCAAATGTCGAGGATCAATATTTATGTTCATTAATCATTCAACAGACATTCACTAAGTCCCAGGCGTGAGGCCAGACCCCAGGATCCAGCAGGGCAAGGACTCAAGCCTGCCTCACAGCCTCCACCATCCAGAACCAAATGAGAGACAGAGAATCATTTATCAATATTAAAAAATGATTAGCTATACTTTGGAATAATTTTTTTCAAATTACATAAGCAGTATTCATTTAATGTAGAAAAATATAGATAAACAAGAGAGGGAAAAAGTCACTTCTGGCCAGGATTAATTTCAGCTAACACTTTGACCTATCTCCTGCCAGTGTTTTTTTCCCCTGGTTCTGGGGACTGAACTCAGGGCCTTGTGCTTACCAGGTACAGCGGTACAGTGCCACTGAGCTAAATCCCCGGCCCCCCAGACCTTTTTTGAGACAGGCTCTCACTAAATTGCTCAGGCTGGGCTTAAACTTTTTTGTGTGTTTATTTTTGTACCAGGGATCGAACTCAGGACCTTGCGGTTACAAGGCAGGTGGTGGCACCATTGAGCTAAATCCCCGGTCTGGGTTTAAACTTTTGATACTTCTGCCTCATCCTCCTAGAGTGATGAGATTATAGGTGTGTGCTACCATGCCTGGCCTCCTTTCAGACTTTTAATCTTGTACAGATTTTAAAGCTGCTCACCTGAAGCAAACATTAAATACATGTTAAATTAGATGTGTGGCCTCTTTTTCCCTAAAGATAGTGTTTCTTAACCATAAAACTTATACGTTCCTTTCTTTCCTCTGGCTCCACCTCTGTTATCAGGTCTGCTGAAGAAATAGGAAAAGAAGTGTGAAGGTGGCATTGGGAATTAGGGGACAATTTAAAAAATTCCTAGGCACCAAACTGCTTTGTCACTGCTGCTGCCAGAGTCCTTTTCCCAGGGTAGGCCCCAGGCAGGCAGCCCCTTCCCAGTCTGACTCCAGGCCAGGGTTTCCTGCTGCTTGAGAGGTGAAGGGTGAGGAGTTGAGGATGTGGGCCAGTTGGCGGTGCAGCCCCTAACAGGCCTGGAGGATCCAGGGGAACGAAGGGCTGACTCTTCAGACAGTGCCAGAGGGTCCAGTCCAGTGCCTTCAGGTTATTGTGTCTGGGGTCAAATCCTACAGAGTTAACAGATCTGGGGGCAAATCCGGGTTTGCTTGCCTATTAGATGTGTGACTTAACTGCTTTGAGATTCAGTTTCCTCATCCGTTAAAGGGAGATAACACTCTTGACCTCCAAGCCCTGTGCAGACCTTAAATGAGATAATTTTGTAAGTGGTGTGACACACAAGAACCTAGTAAGTGGTCAGTGTTTCGATGGATATGAACAGAAGGCAGTGCCAAGCGAGGAACTCCAGCTTTGGCTAAGGAAGGGGATCCACACCCCCCAATCTTCATCGGGTACTGCAAAGGGAGAAGTTTCTCCAAGGCATGAACCTCCTGGCCATGCTCAAGTGAGAGGAAGACCCCTAGACCTGAAACACACTGTGAGCAGGGAAGCTCTTCAGACACACTGAATAGTTCCTTAATTCAATGTCTTCCTCCTGGCACCACCTCCCACGTGGCCCCACCAGGCACTTGGCCCTTTGTCACTTTGGCAGCAGCCTTCCTGTCAGCAAGCTTCCCTGTCAGGGCCTTTTCCTGTCCCTGCCTCGCCACCCCCTCTGTCCTCTGCCATTTCCCTTCCCTCCTTTGTCCCCTTCCCTTGGCCTACCCATAGCCCCACCCTGCCCATCTGGTGCTCCCCTGAGGCCAGACCCTCACTATGTCCCTCTGTCCCCTGCAGGCCTGGCTCTGGACCGGCTCAGCGCCCCTGACCCGGCCTGGATGGCAAGGCTGTCTCTGCCACTCACCACCAATTACAGAGATAATGTGATGTCTCCAGATGCTGCAGTCTCGGAGGAGCCAAGGACCTTCCAGACCTTCGGGAAGGCAGCAGCAGCACCTGAGCTGAGCCCAACGGGCACGAGGCTGGCCAGCACCTTCCTCTCAGAGATGAGCTCGCTGCTGGAGATGCTGCTGGAGCAGCGGTCCGGAGTGCCTGTGGAGGCTGCCTCTGAAGCGCTGCGGCGGCTCTCGGTCTGTGGCAGGACCCTCAGTCTGGACCTGGCCACCAGCGCAGCATCAGGGACTGAGGTGCAGGGGGGCCCAGCTGGAAAGAAGGGGGCTGAGGACAGGAGCGGAAGTGGCAGCAGCAGGTACCTGTGAACACAGCTGAAGGCCTCTGGATGCAAGAAGGAGGCTCCTGGGACATGCTGGAAAGCCCAGGCCCTGAGGATCAGGGGGATATGAGCTGTTTTCTAAAATCTTAAAGCTCATCGACCAGAGCTGGCCCCAGAACTTTAGTGTGACTACTTCTGGCCAGCAGAGGAGGCAGGACCCCCAGACTAACAGCTACCTGAGCAGAACAGCCCCTTGAAAGGGGCTCTGGGAATTTTTTGGAAAACAGGGACAGTGTGGCACAGTGTGGATAGAGGTGTTTGCTGGGAAAACACAGAGTGCAAAGGGCCAGTCCTCAGGGAAAACAGATGCCTCAGAGGACTGAGAACAGGGAGGGTAGCTTTGTTGGATACTGGAGTCGGAGGGCTAGATTCTGGGGACACCAGGCAGTGCTCTCTGTCCTACAAATAAAGGAATAGCAAACTCTTGTTCTCCTGTTTGGACCTGTCGAGGAGGGAACTGTAACACAGTGAGAGTTGTTATTCCTTCCCTGGCAAGAAAGTCATGCTGGGCTTGAGAGGAGTGGCACAGTCCGGTGCAGCGACAGGCATGTGGGTGATGGACATGTGTGCTCTCAGCCCCACTCCCCTATGTTATCAAGTAATCTGCTTCTCAGCTGGAAAACCAGGACAAAAAAAAGTTCATATAAATGCTCTACATCTATATGAGCCAAGAACCAGGCTTTACAATAGATTTGATTTTCCCACAATCCTAGGAGAGAGGTATTCTTATCCCCACTTCACAGACAGGCATATGAAGCTTGGGAAAATTGAGTGTCATTCCCAAGATTGAATAAGGAACAGACTCAGAGCTAAGATCTGGACCCAGGCTGGCCCGACACCAGAACCCACGGCCTCAACCTTGGGATTAGACTGCCAGCCAAGAAATGGAAAAAGAAAAGCCCCATGGGTGAGTTTTGCCAGTGAAACAGCAGTGGACTTGCTGAGCTCCCGCAGAAATGCTGTTGACCTTCTCCAAAGCCATTCAGGTTCATACAACTCTGCACTTGTAAAGCACAGACTGAGAGGGACCTGGATCTGACCTCCCACAGGCTTTGCCCTTCCTCAGAGTTGCCTGTTTGTCACAGAAGTCATCATTCCCAAACCCTGTTTACATGTAAATCTTCCTCTGCCACAGCAGCTTGGGCCCTGTGAATATAGGCCCCGGAGGACAGTACATGAACTGGGTCTATGAAATTGACACTGACAGCACCCAACCTTCCAGGGAAGAGGGAGTGAAAAAACAGCAAATATTTTCCCAAGGTTCAGCCTTGTCATTTTCCTGGAAATTTCCAAGGAGTCATAGCTCATGAATAGCATGGAGCTCTCATGGATGCTGAAGACAGAAGTTCCTCTGCTTGCTCCCTGCCAGTGCTGGAGCTCAGTGCTCATCAAACATACCCCTCAACTAGGAACAGTGAAAGTCATGTATTTGTGGTGCAGTGTGGCATCAGTATTCCATTATTCCATTTACAGATGAGGAAAATGAGCCCCCTGCCCAAAGTTAAGCACTTTAGGATTTCTGATCACCTCACTCTGAGAGTGAACATGATCTTAAAGATCTGTGATTTTCAAGCTGGTTCACAAAGCTGGGTTGTGTGGTTCACTGAGAAAAGATAAAGGAAACCAAGCAGACAGGGTGTCCAGCCTGCCTTGGCAGATACCTTGTACAGAAAGGGACTTGAGTATCTGTTGAATAGATGTGTGAATGAATAAACGTGTAGACAAAGGTGTCAGAGTCCCTTGAATCTGTATGAAGCTCAAGGTAGGACTACATTGGGGAAAAAATGGTCACATTATGTAAAAGCAAAGCCCAAAAACTACAGTACCAAAGTGGACCATGCTGACCACTGCCTTTCCACCTTTAGTGGATTTGCAATGCAGAGCTGATGTTGAGAGGGTGGAGAGAAGAAATGAGGGGTAGAGGACGCTGGAACCATGGCTGCAGCTGGGTCACTGGATACACTGGACCACTGTGTCACTCTCACTCAAGTCTTAAAACCACAGTCCTTAAACTTCCTGAATGGCAAGTACAATTTTGTGTATAGATATTTTTCTGCACAGAGGGTACAAAGTTCTCATCAGATTCCCAAGGGAATATGTGATCTATAAAAGGTTATCAGTACTGCTCCAAGACACTGTCTAAACCTCCACAGATATGGGTCATTGTAGTCACAAGGGGTCAGTGCCATAGTAAGATTTAGGGCCACCTCAGTCCTCAAAGTTGACCCTGTCTTCCCTTTCCCATGGAACCTGGAGAACTTCGCAGAGTTGTCCTGGTCTGAGGCAAATGACCTTCAGTCAGGGTTGGTGGTGTGCTGTGAGGACCGGTGCTCTCTCCTGCATCATGCACCCCCTCCTAGTGCGCTGACACTTTCCCCAGTAACAGGCTGAGAAGGAGACACTACATATGGTGACAGAACTGGGTGTGCTGAACAGGAAGGTTATAGAAACTTCTTGACATCAGCCAAGATGTCAAAGCTGGGACTTTGGACACATTCAAAACAGTTTCCACCAAGACGGGCTGTCTCCTGGGAGACTGGAGAGAGCAGGCGAGCCAGCAAGTACTCAGTTAAATGTCTTCATTTGGAAAGCACAGAGAGACATTTCTTATCAATAGTCAGCCATTCTTCAGCAACAGTAGTGCAATGCAGAGCTTACTCCAAGCCTGGGGGCAGCTAGGAGATTGACAGGCAGCTTCCTTGTCTGTCACCCAACTTCAGCTTGGCAGCTCACTGACCCTACCTTTCCTCTGCTGAAACAAGAATGAGATGGCAGCTACTACCCTTGGGACTCTAGAGAGAACCAAATCCCAAAAGGATAAGATGGGGGAAGAGCGAGTCTTAGCATAGGCTCAGCCTGGCACAGTGTGTACCTAGAAAGTAGCTCAGGGCTTTCCAGCCCCTACTAGGTATTGATATAATGGAAGGGGATCATCATAAACATTCAACAAACGTTTTATGTTTATTATTTATGGAATAACTGCTAAGTGCCAAAGTATAAGGATCAAAATTGGGGGGAGAGGGAGGGGTATTCAGAGTCATTCATTCAGAATTATTTAAAGCACTTACTATGTTCTGGGTAGGCTTGGTGCTGGGCATTGGGTCGATATATGTGGTACACATAATCTCTCATTTGTTAAACAAGTATTTACTGAACATCTGCTAAGTGCCCAGCAATGTACTGGCTTGGAAATCTAATGAATGAAATGGCCTTGTTTCCACCATGGCGTCAAGTCCCTGGAAAGAACTTCTCCAGATAGGGAAACTGAGGCAATAGAGCTTGGTTCAAAGGTCTCATGGATAAAGGCCCACGCCCTGTTCCTTAGGTCTGCCAGAATCCTGAGCTAGGCTGGCCCGATGTGGGGCCACCTCCTGTCCTCCTCCCACATCTCCCCTCAGGGAACTAATGGGAGGTTGTTAATAAAAGAATTTTAATGGCAGAAGCACAGCAGTGCCCCGGTCTGCCCACAGGCCAGTCCCCTTTGGCTGAATCAAGACCACAGTGACTGCACAGCCATGAGTTTTTTGGCCCTGACAACATATCTTTTCAACTTCCACCCTTCCCTCTCCACAGGGAGAGGCTCTTCTTCCTTAGCTTGGATTGCTTAGAAATATTCCATTCTACCTCAGGCTCCCTAGACTGAGGGCATGTTCAACCCGGCAGTGGCTGAACAGGAGGGACAGTGGTACAGGGCCATCACCACAGGCGTGCAAGTCCACTGTCCGGAGTGTGTGGAAGCAGGAATCAGAGCCCAAAATGCCCAGGTGGTGAGGCGACTGATAAGTGTGGTGCCACCAGGACAGGAAGTGGACATTTCCAAGGGTGCCCAGGAAGGAGGCAGGCTCTATCTCAGACCAGTGAGGAACACGCTGGGTTAACCATGTTCTTACTGCAGGACTTCTTGGAACCTGGAATATGCTGACATGCTCTGTGAATCTATAAAAAGGGGATATCTAGTGCAGTGTTTCCCAAACTAATTTGACCACAGAAACCTTTTTTTTTTTGGCTAAGAGATTAGTGCCCTGCATAGTTTAAAACAGCACCGAGCCCCTACACTGCCCAGGACACTGTGCTAGGTGCTGAGATCCTGGAATACATAGATGGGGTTCCTGCTACAAGGAGTACCATCGGTGGGAGGTGGCTGAGTGAGCAAACGGTGAGGGTGAGCACAGTGTGCAGGGTGGCCCTGGGACAAAGGCAGAGGAGGCCCTGGGGCTCCAGTGTGAGGAAGGTGCTAGGAAAGTGTAGAAAGCACCTCCTTCAGGACTGGGACAGGAGGGGCTGGCAGCAGAGAGGGAAAGGGGACAACATTCCCCCAAATCTTCCCACTCTGAACTGGCCAAGCTGGCTGCTTCTTCCACTCAGTCACCCAAGGGGCTGGTCCTCAGTCCCTCCCTCCTCTCCCCTCAACCATAGCTACACTATTGAACTTGGGATAACATCCAGAAGCCAGGGGAACAGCTATTCACAAATTCAGTAATTGGAATCATTAGCGTTGACTCAGAAATCATTTTTTTCCAAAGTCTCTCTCCTGGAGAAGCTTTTAAGACCCCTTAAATTGGTTAATGGAGAGTTTAGAGATGAGGATGGAGCCTTGCCTTTCAGCTCCCCCTGCTCGCCTGGCTCTCACTAACACACTCGAGGGCAAGAGTGATGAGATAATCCACTATCTGTTTTATTAAATGCCCGTGTATTTCTGGCTCACCTTTCCCAAATGAGGACTCACAATCTACACTCTCCATCTCCAAGACTCCAGCTGCCCAATCTCCATTTCCTCCCTTATTGGTAGGATATTGATGCTTTCACATAAAACGACAGTGGGAGCAGTAGAACAGAGGCCTGAGCTGGGAGGCAGGAAGCCTGGGTTCACATAATGGCCTGGAGTCTCATGAGGCCACACGATCTCTGACATCACTCTGCCTCCAGGAGCCTAAGCAAGCACCGAGGTCCTTTCTGCCATGAAATGCCCAGTGTCAGTCTTGTGAAGGAGGAGGGCACACACCACTGCCCTGGGTCTATAACTGAGGAAATGATGTTAGTGAATCAGGTCACTGTTGCAAGGTAACATGGCCAGGCAAGTGGTGGAACCAGAACCAGATCTCCACAAACCTCCTCCTCTTTATGGTGTGTGGGGGATACTAAAGGTTTTTGGGATGGTGAGTGGATAACTGGCTTCTTTGGGATTCAAGTTGTGATATCCTGAGAATTCAAAGGCTCCATCGTTAGAGCTGAGGAGAGGTCTGAAAAAGTCAAGGAGATACACACAGGCATTCAGGCAGGAAACCCCTTCTTCTTACTTAAACCAAAGATGAAATGAAAACCATCGTGAATCCATTGGGACAAACACATGTGAATGTTGGAGCTAGTCTCAGGGACAAGTCAATTCAGTTTCCCAAGTTTCAGCCACTCAAAGAACCACCCCCGCATCTTCTGCCATCTCTCTAGATCTCGTCTCCCTGGATCTGTTCTCTTTGTACAGTGTTTTTCAATTTTTTCTTTTACTTTTTTTTTTTTCCCCTGCTACTGGGGATTGAACCCAGGGCCCGATTTTTTTTTTTTTTTTTTTTTTGGTACCAGGGATTGAACTCAGGACCTTGTGGTTTTGAGGCAGGCCCAGTGCCACTGAGCTAAATCCCTGGCCTGCCAGGGCCTCATACATGCTTGGCAAATGCTCTACCAATGAGTTGCATCCTCAGCCTTTTACTTTTTTTTCCGGTGGTACTGAGAATTGAACCCTGGGCTTTCACATTGAGCTATAACCCCAGCTCTTTGTTTTTTTATTTTGAGACAGGGTCTTGCTAAGTCACTAAGCTGTCCAGATTGGGCTCAAACTTGTATTTCTCCTGACTCAGCCTTCCATGGCACTGAGATGACAGGTGTGTACCACCATGCCTAGCTCCTAGCCCTTTTTAATCATTTGAGACAGGGTCTCACTAAGTTGCCCATGGTGGCCTCAAATTTGTGATCCTTCTATCTCAGCCTCCCAAATAAGCTGGGTTTAGAGGCATGTGACACTGCATTGGCTATACACTGTTTTTCTTTAAGTTGATTCTCAATTTTTTTATAAGTGAGCTTTGTAAATATCTTAACAGATCAATATGGTAGTCATATTTCATATTATATAGTAAATATATAATCACTAAAATAAAAAATATTAACTTGCAGACCATCTAAAATCTTCCTGTGAACCTCCAGAGGTACACCCATCAAGGGCTGGGAAATGGTAGTGTAGTCTTAGGGTGAGGAAACCGAGGCATGGGAATGGAGAAAGTAGGTGACTTGCTCAAAGACAAAGGGCAAGTAAAGAACAGGGTCTCTGTACCCTCCTGCAGTTTTTCATAGGCCACCAAATAAATCCTTTTGGTGCATAGACTAGAAATAGCCAAGAATGTACCAAGGCTCGTCTGAGAGGCTCCCAAATGGGGAAATGGTCAAAGTCTTTGATTAGCCACACACTTGAAATGGCTCCTGCTGGACTTTCTACCCAGGAAAGGGTTACTGACACTGCCTTTTGTTATCCAACCTGCTGCGCCCTCCCCTCTGGCCCCAGTGACTGTTTTATCTCACCTTAGCCAAAACCCAGTCTTACAAGACTTCTTTCCAAGTGGGGGATAGCACTGCTGGGGGCTCCTGGGCTGGCCCTGAGATGCCGGCTTCTGCACAGGAGGCCGAGGTTCCCAGTGCTCGATGCATGAGGGACGCCTGAGGGGCCAGCCAGCAGGGAGTTCAGGCTGCAGAGGGAGGGGCTGGAGAAAGACTTCGGTCCTGTAACTGCCAGGTGGCTGGGCCTGGGGGCTATGAGAGGGGGTGAAAGCAATGCTTACTCAGGTGGGATTCTCAGACTTCTATTTTGGAGCAAAAAGTTCTCAAAAGTCTTGGTTCCCCTGGTACTGTTAACCCAGCCTAGCGCCACAGACACATAAGTAGGTGGACCTTGGAGCCCTGGAAGGGTCACTTAGAGGGCCTCAGGGCACTGACCCTAAGAAGTCACTGCAGTGGCCACCTTTTGCAGTATCTGGTGTGTGTCAGGCTGGGCTGAGTTCATAATCATCATCTCACTTAATTCTTACAACAAGCTAATGAGCTCGGTGCTACTGTAGCCCTGATTTTGAGAGATGAAACTGAGGCTCAAGGATATGCAGTCCCAGGTCGGTGACAGCAGCGACAGGGTGGTGTGACTCTAAAGGTTGTGCTCCTGACCATCATTGGGGCCAGAAATTACAAGGAGACCATGGGCTTCTTCCACCCCACTGTCTCACAGGGCACGGAGCTCAGGAGAGGAACCAGGTGGCGTGGACTTGCATCTGTACCTGCTGCCTCTGTGGAAAAGAGGGTCCGCAGCCTCTCCTGGGCAGGCTCATTTCCGAGAGCTTCTGCCTGCTGGTAACACCTCACGGCCTCTCCCAGATTCCTCTGCACACCAAGGCCTTTCTCGTAGCAAATTCCCAAGTGGTATCTGCTCTGTGAGTCCTAAAGGAGAAAATGGACAGCCACAAAAAGGAATGAGGAAGGGAAATAGCCAGGATCAAGGTGGGTCAGGCATGCTGGGACTTCATCCATGCAGGGTAAAGGCCCAGCCCAGGCACACCCCATTCCAAGGGATCTCAACCATGAGATGCCACAGCCCCAGAGCTCACCCACTCAGCCAGAGCAGTGTGGTGGTTCCTCTCCTGGGGCTGAAAGAAGGCTACGGAACTACTTAGCCCAGTACAGAGTCTGCATATTTCAAGAGACACAGTGAGGCCACAGTGGAGGAAGGTCCACCTCAGAGGCCTCTATGCCTCCATGAGTCTCTGCAGGAGAGGGCTGAGAAGCAGGAATAACAGAGCAAGTGTTTCTCCTCCCTTAAAGACTGAGCCTTTGGCCCTGAGCTCTGGGTCCTCACTGCTCTGAGAGGAGAACAGGCAGGGGTAGGAGCCCAGGCTCTATATAGCCTGGTTCTAATCTTGGCTCTGCCGCTTATCAGCTGGCTAACCTCATACATGTTACCTACATCTCAGTGCCTCAGTTTCCTCATCTATACCATGCTGATAATAATAGCACTATCTCACTAGGTTTTTGTGTTACAATATAGTGCTATTATCATCTCCATTAGTTAATCTCTACTGAAATATTTTCATATGAAATCTCCCAACTGAAAAAAAAAGCAACCCACTCTGTGGACTCCTGATCATGGTCCCATTTCTCTTCTACCCTCCACAATCCAATTTCTGCTCCAATTCTGCCTCTACTTCCGAGCTACACAGACCAAAGACTCTGCAGTAAACACAGTGGAATCAGGTATACACCCAGGTTAGGACATAGCAGAAGGAAGGCCACCCCTGGAATACAGTGCTGCTCATTAAAAGCCCCGGGAGACACGGTTCCCTGGAGGTGGAAGAGTGCGAGGCCTGGGTGCCAACACGTCATGGGTGACAGGTATCCCTTTGTGCTCCTCCCCTCTCAGCATGCTGATCTGATGCTAACAGGCCAGGCAACCCCCAGGTGTGCCCAGACATGGACTGCAGGCCCATCCCACCTGAGGAAGGCTCTGGGGGGCTCTTGAAGGAAAAACAGACATAGTTATCAGGTACTGGTAAGTGACATTGGTCCCCTTCTGACAGCTATCACGACACTCTGGACAACAGAGTAGATGAGGCACGGTATTCTGGTGCCCAAGACTTCAATAAAGCCAGAAAACAAAGAGCGGCAGCAGTTGCTAGGCAGGAAATTACAGAGCAGGTGCACTGCTTGTTCTAATCCAGGACTCCTGGCCCTTCAAGCTACAAATGAAACCAGACACTGGTCGAATACACTTGAGGAATTCAGCAAACCACAGGTCACCTTCCTGATGTTTCTCAGTGATATAAAGCTCTAAGACTCCCTGCATTAAAGATAGCTGTTTTGCCTATAATTCCAGTATGTGGAAGGCTGAGGCAGGAGGATCACTGCAAGTTCAAGGATAGCCTGAATGATATTGTGAGATTCTGTCTCAAAATACCCAAAATAAATAAATTAAATAAATAATTAAAGAGAGCTGTTTAACTCAGAACTTCCGAAATCCAACTAACCATATTTCCCTTAATGCTAGTGGAACAAACTGGGCTATGCAGGCTGCATTTCATACACAATCGGACATCCCTTTCCCCCATAACTGCTCAGTCAGTGTACCCACCTCATATGTCTGACTTCTCCAGACTAGCACTCCTTACAATGACACTTACCAACTGTGGCTTCAGCTTATAAAGTACTCTCATACCTGTTACCTGTTAGATTTTGAGTCTTCCAAAAATCCTGGGAAGTAGTAGACAGGAATTATTATATTGGGGTGTGTGTGTGTGTGTGTGTGTGTGTGTGTGTGTGTGTTTTACTGAGGATTGAACAACTGAACTCAGGAAGCACTGAGCTGCAACTCAGACCTTTTTATTTTGAGACAAGGTCTTGCTAAATTGCCCAGACTGTCTTGAATTTATAATCCTTTGCCTCAGCCTCCCGAGTAGCTGGGATTGCAGGCATGCACCACCAAACCCTGCCTATATGTTGACTTTATTGAGCAATTTTGTTTCTTTTTTGCTTTCTTGCGGTACTAGGCATCAAATCCAGGGCCTCACACATGCTGGGCAAGAGCTCTGCTACTGAGCTACATCCCCAGCCCCAATTATGTTGATTTGAAAGATAAGGAAACAGATTTAAACAAGAAGTGACCAGTCCAATAGTGGGCTGGTAAATGTTTAACAACTGAACAGGTAGAGAGGAACCCGGCTATGCAGAATTTGACAATATCTATAAGCAAATGCTCCTACCACAGCTGAGTTTAAGCACTGATAGGCCACTGGACCTGCCCAAGAGTTGCACAGTAACTCAGTAGGAACTAAAGTTTGAAGCCAGCCCAAGGCTCCTAGCAAACAGCAGCCTAAGCACAGAACTCTGTACCAGTTCCCAAATCCCTTCTCTGGTCAGACTTGATCTTCAACATGCCTGGATACCACAGATCACGTACCCCATTGCTGGCTGCAAGCCAAAGATACTTCACTGCTCTCTGCTCATCCAGGTGTGGCTCCTTGGTGAAAAGCACCCCGAGGAAGGCTTGGGCCTGTGGGCAGAGAGGAAGGACAAAGGTGTCCTGACTTCCAGCTCCGTATGCCCCCGATAACCCAGGACAGACCCTGCCAATGGCACGCACCTCTCTCAGGCCGGAGTCTGCAGCCTGTTTCAGCATGGACAGTGCTTTCTGCCACTCAGGGTCCCCAGAGGAGGCTGGGGCTTGCAGCAGACACCTGGCATAGCGGTACTGAGCAAGGCTGTGGCCCTGGCTGGCAGCCAACTGGTAATAAAAGATTGCCTAGGGCAAAAGAAGAAACACCCAGTCTGCTGGTAGCTCTCTAAGCACTTTTTCTCCAAGCAGAATTTGAAAAAATAATACACAGTTACTACAGATTAGTCAAGAAATACAGATTAAGACAAAATTTAAAGATACAAACATAAAATTGCAAGAAATCTTGTCTCCTAAGATCATGCTCTATGAAAATTTTAGCGTACAGGCTCGCAAATTTATTCTCATAGATATGTTACATACAGAGAGAGAGAGAGAGAGAGAGAGACTGATTCACTATGTATGACTTTCCCTGCCAATAAAGAGAGATCCAGCACATCACTTAAGGTCTACATAGACATAATTAGCCAGTTCTGTACTGAAGGAATGCTAAGTTGCTGTTCCTTTTTTGTTTGGTTTTCACCTTCATAAACAACTCGAGATTCTTATGTATAACATCTCTGTGTACTTATCCTACGTTTAAAGAATTGATCCATTTATCAAGGTGCTGCTCCACACTCTGGGGATATAGCTGCGAAGAAAAAGGTAAGATGTTTGCTCTCCCTGAGTTTTGAGTCTGAATTCCTATAAGTTAGGAACTTCTTTCTTAGTTTTACCTCATAGCTAGGCTGCAACCAAGTCAGAGAAGCCAGACTTTCCTCTGCCCCTGCACACTGCTAAGTTCTGGAGTTCATTCTGGTCACCTTGGCACAGGGTATGGGTCTGGGAACAGGGCAGAAGGGACAGTACCTTGCTGAGGTCCCTGTGGGTGCCTCTGCCATGCTCGTGACACAAGCCCATGTTGTATTGTGCTTTGCTGTAGCCACGGTCTGCAGCTTTCTGGAAGTAAGAAAAGGCTGCCTTGTAGTCCCCATTCCTCATGTTCTCTGTCCCTGTAAGAAAGCACAGGGTGGAAACAGCTTCCTCTGTGAACAGGCCACAGCCTCAGCTAGACACACACAGGCTCCGTGTCTCTTCTTTGTGCTAGACACTGGTGTTTACTTCCATTGTCTAAATATCTCACTGATTTGCCATAGATCTTAGTGGGCTCTGGCCTCCCATTACCTCCTACCCCGGATTCATACCCACACGAGGCACTCACTACCCTTTGGGAACAACCCCACCCCCTGTGTTGTCAATCAGAGTACCTGTGCTCTTCCCAACCAGTGACTCTCAGGAATCTGACTCTTCATCAGGTTGAACAAGGAGGGGAAAACAGCTCTTATAAGTTTATTCTGACAGCAGCAGTCTGGCGATAATGTCTATCAGTTGTGGTCCCCTGGGGCTCTGCAACTTCACTGATTCCCGTCCTTTCTGAAGCTTGGAAGGTTAAGAGATCCCAATAGATTCTGGCTTTAGTTAGTCAGAATGAGTTTAAGGTGGCTTATAACCCACAAACCCTACCTGACACAGGTGCTACTGTCACTCTTGTTGTCTGAGGATACTGAGACCAGAATGCAAGAGCACCGAGCTCCAAGGGCCGGGTATTTAGCTCAGTGGTTCTGCCACCTGCCTCGCAAGCACAAGGACCGGAGTTCGATCCCAGTACCAAAGAAAACAAAACAAAAAACCCATATCGTCTTTGTTTTTTTTGGTACCGGGGATCAAACTCGGGACCTTGTGCTTTCGAGCCAGGCGCCAGGACCACTGAGCTACATCCCTGGCCCAACCCATATCTTCTTAAGGGCCAGGGGTGTAGCTCAGTGGTGCCACTGCCTGCCTCAAAAACACAAGGTCCTGAGTTCAATCCCCGGTACCAAAAAACAAAAACAAAAACAAAACAACAACAAAAATTTGTCCAAAGAGCACCCAGCTCCAAAGCCGAGACTCTACATTGCCCAAACAAAAAGGAAATAGGAAAGGAACCCAACATAGACACTTCTCAACTCTACTCAGACTGGTTCCTGCCTGCAACCTCTCTTTCTCCCTCCACTGTTAACGTCCTGTTTCTGTTCTGAAAACTTTAGACCACACTCAAGCTTTATTCACTTTTTTGGCATTTTCCTAATATACCAAATCTTTTTCTATGAACTAAACTGTTTCACAAGTACAGGCCCTGTCTCCTCAATTAGACTGTAAAATCCCAGAGACAGAGCGGAAGGAAGAATGCAGGAGAAATAACTTAGCATAGGGTGAAAGCTCTATACAAATGCAAAATATGATTATAGCTTATGCTGGATTTGTGTTCTGCCACAGTGCTTAGCACTTGCTGAATAAATGAATATATGAATGAAGGAATGGGCAAGAAAATTCTCAGAAGAAGCTCCCCATCAAGATCACAAAAAGCTAATGAAGGAGAAACCAAGTTCCATTCAGCCAGCAGTGAATTAAAATCACCTCCACGCTGCCGGAAAACTTTCAGGTTTCACAGAGCCTTCTGTCCTTGGGAGACTTCAGAGGTCAAAGGATCCCACCCTCCTATGCCCCACACTGGCTCCACCCTAATCACTTTATTTTCATCTCCTCTCCCTCTAACCTCAACCAAGCCACCATCACATTTTGCTTAGCTGTCAGTAACAGCTCCTATTTGGTCTATTTCCCCTCTGGCCTCCCTATAATCCACACTGGTCTACACAACAGCCAGAGTGATCTTGGGAAGAGTAAATCAGATCATATGTCTAGCCCTCTTACTGCTCCAGTTTAAAACCATCTGATAGCCTCCTATCTCGCTTAGAAAAGCCATACTCTACCCTGGTTCAGCTCTCACCTTGTCTGGACCTTGCATGTTTCTCTAACTTCATCTCCTTTTCTTCCTGTGATTTCTAAGCTCCAGCTACACTCAGTAGTCTTTTGTTCCCTTGGCAAGTAAACTGAATCCTGCCTCAGGACCTTTGCACTCAGTTTCTTCTGTTTAGAAAGCTCTTTCTCCAGACAGTAACAAAAGTGGCTTGCTTTTGTCATCAGTTCTTAGCTTTAGAATTTTCCTTTCAGCAAAGACTTCCAATTGCAAAGCTATTCATTGCCCAAGTTCTAAAACATTCCCTTGTTTTATTTATTTTCTTTTTGTTTTTTTGAGAGGGTCTTTTTATGTAGCCCAGGCTGCCCTTGAACTCACAGCAATCTTCCTGCCTCAGCCTCCCAAGTGCTGGATTATAGATGTGTGCCACCATGCCTGGCTCAGGATGTTGTCCTGTGAATCACTGTATCTCTAGCACCTAACATAGGGCCTAGAAAAAAGTGAATGCTCAGTAAACTTGTTCTAAATGAATCGTAGCTTCTCACCCACCTTCCAACTAGACCCCATTAGATGCTGCTGGAAATATGGGTCTCCACAATTAGAAGGCTTGAAACACGAGTCAAGTCACTGTAGAACCAGGGCAAACTGGGGAGGGCATGCGAAGTTTCCAGACATAGCTCAAGAGTTTCTTATTCATGCACTTGAGTACCTGCTCCAAACCTTAGGCATCTATCTTTACTAAGCATGGCAGAGAACAGTAAGTGTCCTCTAGGACTTATTTTCTCTTACCTACACAGTAATACAATTTTCAGGTAAGTACCTGGCCATCCAGATGAAGACTACACTTCTCAGCATCCCCAGAGATAGGTGTGGTCCTAAGCCCACATTTTGGCTTATGTGACTTGCTCGAAGTCCAAGTTCTAGGTCAGGTCCTTAAAGGGGAGGGGTCATCCTTTAGCTGCCCCCACCTGCCCCCTTCCAGCTGGCTAGAACATGGATAGGAGGATAGGAGAATAGGAGCTGAAAGAGCCAAACTGGATCTCAAAATGAAAGCCACTTTTGGGGGTGGTGGTTAATGTGTTTGTTTGTTTTTGCAGTACTGGGGATTTGACCCACGGCCTTCACACTAAGCTACATCCCCGGTGTCTTTTTAAAAAAAATTATTTTGAGGGAGGGTCTCACTAAGTTGCTAGGTTGCCCAGGCTGGGCTTGAACTTGTGATCTTCCTGCCTCAGCCTCACAGATACTGGAATTACAAGTATGCAAGGCCAGTTTTAGAATGGTAGAATGTACATGAATAAGAATGGGTCCTTGACACCACTGAGCTACATGCCAGATTTGGTCCATCTACCTGGGAGAAAATAAAATCTCTCTAGTTTAAATCACTCTAACTTGACTGTATTCTACCTACCCTACATTCTCCTTCCTTTCTTATCGCCCTGCCTTCAGGCAGGGTCCCCCAGTTACCTAGGAAGTTGAAAGCAATGGAAACACTGAGCTGGAAGAGCTGCTGAATGGAAGTTACTGCCTCCTCGAGGGAAAGAGTTTTTGACTTATCTTGTTCCTGGGGAAGAAATACAAAGACACATCAAAGGATGGTTCATTGGGATTGCTACCCAATCCAGGGGATGATATGGTGGCAAAATCTGGCTAATACCTTCTTTTCACCAGGGTGCTGAGGCTGGACTGGCTTTGCCCTGGACTCAAAGCTACTGCCGGCATCCAGGAAGCCAAAATTACCGGGACCTGCAAAGGAAAAGCCTTCACCCAGCCAGGGCAAGGGAGAAGGGTATTATTTCATTTTCCCTCCTCTCCCAGTCTGCCCAGCTTCTCCATCCAGCACCCCTGCCAGGAGCCAAACTAACTCTGAATCACCCAGAAAGCACGGAGCCTCACAGGAATGACAATTCTCTTATCTGAGAACATACAGCAACAATGTCCATCTGCCTAGCCCCTTTACTCTCCCCTTCACCCCACCCAACCCTACCTTCTGCAGATTCCAGGAGAGGACGTACTTCGTGAGAGGGCTCCTGAGGACCAGCTATTCTCAAGGAGCTATTCGAGAAGCTCCTAGGCTGAGCTGAGGGCTCTTCCTGGCCCAGCCTGGGTTCTCTGAGGCCAATGTGCCTGGGGGCTGGGCCTTTGGGGCCAGGGAGAACATGCCTCCTCAGAGCTGAGAAGAGCCAGAAACAGCAGTCAGGTCAGACGGGAGTCAGTTCACCCTGAGGCACTTGACCTGAGTCCCCGCCTTGAGGGTTTGGAGAACAGAGGAAGAACTCTGAAATTCCTGGGAGGCCTTCCTCCCACGCTTCCTCCTCCACTTCCTCTGCTAGCCTCTCTCGGGGCCCACATTTATGCTGATCTCCCATCCTAAGCATAAATCACTTCTTTGCTGGAATTCTTCCAGAGCAAAGCATCTACCTTATTCACTGTTGTAGCTTCAGCTGCTGGCGCTTTATTTAATGGTAATATTGATAAGATTATAATCATAATGATAAGGACAAGAACTAATACTTCAACTAGTAATTACCAAGCATTTGGCATGCACTGGGCACTGTTCCAAGTCCTCGACATATATTAACTCATTCAGTCTCCCCAAGAAATCTGTACAGTTTTGGTATTATCCCATTTTATAGATGAAGAAACTGAGGCACAGGGAAGTTATTAAAGGATATAAGATTAGCACTTCTGGGGCTTGAACTTTCACAATCCAATCTGACTCCAGAACCTCAACTACTAGTCTATATGGCTTCTGGACCATGGCACATAATACATACAAAATACAGACTCACTTACTGATGCATGACTGAATGACCAGAAAATGGCCTAACTGGTTAAGAGCTGAGCAGGAAGCCACATGTAGGATCTAAAGTGGCCTGCGTCTGAGGTAGTCAGGGACCACTATAGGGACAAAGGACAAACTGCTGGGGCCTTAACCTGTTACTCGTTAAAGGCACAATTGGTGTTTTCTTTTGAGGCAGTCAGGGACTTATAAGCAGTTTTTGCTAAAATCCATCACTCAGGGCTGAGGATTTAGCTTAGTGGCAGTGTGCCTGCCTGGCAACCACAAGGTCCTGAGTTCAAGTCCCCATATGGGGAGGGGGAACCATGACTCTTCACTTGGGCCTACCAATAGGCAACTAAGAATAGAACAAAGCTTGACCGTCAGTTCTGTATCCCACACTACCTTAAAACTTTGAATACAGGGCTGGGGATTTAGCTCAGTGGATCTGCTGCCTGCCTTGAAAGCACAAGGTCCCAAGTTCGATCCCCAGTACCAAAACATAAATAAATAAATAAAATAAAACGAGTAACATATGTATTCAAAGTTTTTTGTGGGTTTTTTTGGTTTTTTTGGTACCAGGGATCGAACTTGGGTCCTTGCGCTCGCAAGGCTGGTGGCAGAACCACTGAGCTAAATCCCCAGCTCGGTTACTCATTTTTAAAGTCAACAGAACAAAGTTTATTAGCCCTAAACTCTAACTACCTCATCTCCCTTCAAGATAGAGGACACCAAGGTAAGAGTAGAAACTAGTTTTCAGGATTCACAGGGACATCTGATTATCACCCTTTACGACATCCAGTGTCAGACCCTTATTGCTTCTCGGCCTTTTGGCTAAGATCAAGTGCAGTGTCAGACCCTTCCCCCTGCACCAACTCCTAAAAGTCTCCTTCACTGTCCTGAACTGGTAGTCACCTGGGTCCCAAGAAAAGTACTGCAAACAAAAGCACCGATTTCAGAACAGCCTCTCAAGCCACAAGGATTCCTCCAAAGTTCTGAAACCAGGCCTGAGATAATGATCAGCAGGACCTCAGTTAACCCCTGAAAGCTGGCCAATCCGACCCTTTTCATCAGAGTGCGCCCCTTCCAGCTACTACTGGAGCTGGAGTCCTTTTCCTGTCTTCTCTCTTACTTTCTGAGTAAAGTTTTCACTTGTAAATTCATACTGTTGCTTACTTTTTATGTCCCACTGTCATTAATGCAAGGACCCACGCTAGCTGGTGACAGACCTATGGGGCTCCCCCCACAGAGGGTGACAGGAGGACACAGGAACACAAGGGGTAGGTGTGGCCCACACCACACCCTGGGTCGGGAGAACTTCGCCACATTCCCTTTCCTCTGACTTCAGATAGGAAAGGCAAGGAGCTCCTGATGGCTCTTTTCCTGAGGTGTGTCCGGAGATGCTTCCTGACCCAGAGCAGCTCCCACCCAGCCCCCCTACCCCAGGACTGAGAACTCACAGGAGTCCGGGTGCCACCAGGGAGATGAGAGGAAACGGTCCAGGGGACTGCGCCAAGAGCAGCGTTCTGCTTGCCGAGGCCCTGTGGGCAGGAACTCCTGGAAGTGGATCTATCTTGCCACCTGCAGGGCCAGCACGGCCAGAGTGCCCTGGAAAAAGACAGCATACTGGGGACGTGGAACCCTCCCCTCATCTGCTCCAGTCACTGCTCCAGACTTGGCCCTCAACACAATCATCATTTCCTTGGGAAGCCTTTCCTGTCTCCGGATGGAGCAGCTTCCTACAGGCTCACAGAACCCAAATTTCTCCTCTGATAATTAATAATCATCACTGTAATTATTCATTTTAGGTCTCCTGCTCCTGTCTGTAAGCACAACAAAGGTAGGGACCATGCACATTTTGCTGACCAACGGATCCTGGTGCCCAGCATGGTGCTAAGTTGGAGTAGGAGCCCAGTAAACACTGACTGAATAAACCCATTACAAGCAACTGAATACACAAAATGCAGGCAGGCAAAAAGGTGATGTGGTAAGATGGGGCTAGCACAAACGCAGGGACAAGTCAGAGTTCCCCACCAGGCACACTCTCCAGCCTGGCGCAAGCCTCCCTTTCCTCCCGCAGAGCCACCCAGCACACACACTTCCAGGTGTGGCCTTATTGAAGGTGTCTTTCTTCTGACAGGTATGCAGAGGTGCAGAACACCTGAGCCAACTCTTACTCCAGTGACTCCCTGCTTTCCTGTCTCTTGCGCTGTGCTCGAGAAGGGACATTTAGATACTTATTTAGATAAATAGTGCCAACAGGCACTATTTACAATGGCAAATAAAAGACAGTCACAGTCTCGGTCCTCATGACATTTATGTCATGTTGAGAAGGACAAAACCCAAGTATGCAGAAAAATAAATGCTGTAATTAATAATCAGCAGGTTACACAGAGCCTAAGCGGGAGATCTGACATGACGAGGAATGAGGAAAAGCCCCTTGTGCGTGAGCTAAGGCCAGAACAAGAGAAGGCGCCAGCACTGTGAGGGAAGGGACAAGTATCCATAGCACTGGGGACAGCTTGTGTACAGCCCCTTTCATATGGGCAGTGGGACAAAGCCCAGGGTAGCATCAGGACCTCTGGAATACAGGTCCAGTTCCCCAGAGAAACCAGTGTGGGACTCTGCCCCAGGGCTTAGATCCCTGGGAAAATGGAAAAACATTCCCCTCTCCAGGGTATGTCCACAGAAACCCCGAAAGTGGAGTCCCTGTCATGGAGACACCCCAGACTCACCTCTGCTGATGACAACAATTTCCAGGTAAAAGCAAGTGAGGCTGAGCAAGGCATGCATGTAATCCACGCACCCTAGGAGACTGAGGCAAGAGGATCAAAAGTTGAGCCCAACCTGGGAAATCTAGCAGCTCAGCAAGACCTTGTCTCACAATAAAAAAAAAATAAAAAGGACTGGGATGCAGCTCAGGGAGAAGGCCTGGGGTTCAATCCCTTACCCTCCTCCCCAAAGTGAGGCTCAGAGAGATGAAGTCATCTGCCTAAAGTACACAGCATGATAGTAGCAAGAATGGGATGTGACAGACATAAGAGTGATATACATGGTACCCTTGAGTTACAACCAATCTGACATATAAACAAACATGGGTTATGACTGGAATTTTAGTTTTTAACTTAGGATCAAAGTCTTGAGTTATGACTCAAACGCTGGCTTCTTGTGCTTCCAGATGATCTCAGACACAGATTTAACCCTTAAAGAGTTCTGGAAGGAACATTACAACATCCTTTCCTATGTGGGGTTAACTGAGAAATCCTGGACCAATGTCTCTCTAAGGACACTGAGATCTGCCTGTACACAGGAGAGAGACTTTGAAGGCTATGTAGAGGAGCCTGAGCCTTCACTGACCAAGGTGAGTTACAACTGCCCTTGGGAATGAATTGAGTTTGTAATTCAAGTCCACTGTATGTGGCAACTTCATTCACAATATATTTGATCTGGGTCTTTGCCTAAAAGGTACAAACTCTGTCCTTTCTTTTTTTTTTTTTTTTTTTGGTACCGGGGATTGAACTCGGGTCCTTGCGCTTGCACAGCAGGCGGCGAAACCACTGAGCTAAATCCCCGGCAAAACTCTGTCCTATTAAACCTAGTGTTCACTACTAGGAATGTGACTTTGTGGATCAGATTCAACAAATATTTATTGAGCAACTATTATGGGCTAGGCTCTGCAGTAAGTGCTTTCACAAGTCATCTAGGCAATACAACCAAGTGATACAGCCTTAATTCCAGAGTTAAATCTGGCTTCTCACTCAATAGCTGTGACTTTTAAACATGTTACTTGATAAGTCAGAGCCTGAGTTTCTTCATGTTCAAAATGAGTTACATTTCTCTTGCAAGATTTTTGTAGGGATTAACTATGACAATGCACTATCACAGTTTACATTAACAAGTAATGCTAGGGCCAGGGATTTAGCTCAGTGGCACCATGCCGCCTCGAAAGCACGGGGTCCTGAATTTGATCCCCAGTACCAAAAACAAAAACATAAAAAAACAAGTAATGCTACTTATTAGCTATTTCTTAATAGTCACTGTAAGCTCCATGAAGGCAGGAATTATATCTATTTGTTCTCTGCTATCGCCCTTAGGTCCTAGCAAAAATGCCTGGCTGAGAGAAGGTATAAATAAATATTTATCAAATGAAATAAAGAATAAATATACAGCAGGGCTGGGGATTTAGCTCAGTGGTGCTGCCACCTGCCTCACAAGCACAAGGTCCTGAATTCGATCCCCTACACCAAAAAAAAAAAAAGAAAGAATAAATACACAGTTCCTCATTATGTGGACAAAACCTTGCTCTGGTTTTTAGACTAGGTTATTTCTCCACACATGACCATTCTCATCTACGCTGAAGATAAAGGACAGGGCTGGGGAAGCCTTACCCATGAGACAGCATCCCACAAGGTATGTGGGGAGATGCAAGCAGAAATCCACTGGAAGGCATCCTTCCATCCGTGGGACTTTGGGCCCCTGCTTGTACTTGGGCCGTGAGAGCCTGACCTAGATAATGCAATTAGAGGTTATAGGGTTCTGTCCAAAATGCTGGCAAGGGAAAATGGGTGACGAAATGGCACTGACTCACCTGTCAATAGTGGGCACAGAGACCAGCAAGGAGGAGGAGGTTGTCTGGGGCCCATCTGGGCTGGTGGGCTTGGGGGTCACCACCCGTAAGTCAGGTCCCAGCAGCCGGGGAAGAGCTGCATAGAAAACAAAGATGACTCTTAACAGGAAGAGGACTGAGACAAAGCTAGACCAATAATCTTGCCTCTAACCTGAGATGGCACTTTACCCTAGGAACCCAGGAATCACTGGCATCTGCCTCTGTGGTGTTTCTTGTTTTTGTGGTGCTGGGAAATTGAACCCTTTGTGCATGCTAGGCGAGTGTTGTACCACTCAGCAACAGCCTCAATCTTTTTGTTGTTGTTGTTGTTTTGGTTTGTTTTTTGAGACAGGGTCACACTATGTAGTTCAGGTTGGCCCTGATCTCAGTATGTAGCCCAGGCTGTCCTCAAACTCTCAGCGATCCTCTTGCCTCAGCCTCTTGAGGGCTGGAATTACAGGTGCAGTAGTTCTTAAGGATACACATGGAAATCTTTAGCCTAATAAAGATTCTAAGGGATCACAGCAGAACCAATAAAGTAGTATTTCTGAGTGAAGCATCTACATTTTGCAAGAGTTCCCCCATGTGATTCTCATGCCCTCCAATCGATGACAACCTTCCTTCTATGACCACATATCCACAAACACTATGGTCCAATGTTCAGAGCACTTGTTTCTAAATCCCTCCTCTATTCGCTGGCTCCGCCTACTCCGTTGCCTCCCTTCGCTGACTCCTCCCCTTCTTAGAGCTGCGCCCACCTCCTTGGATTTAAACTCAACACTTTCTTCTCCCCACCACATCTCCAATTCCAGCACCCCCTGCCTCTTGATTAGGTAGCCCCGCCCCTAAGTCCCCGCCCACCCGCTCTAACACTGCCTACTGTCGCTCGGGCTGTTTCCTCGCGCGGTGCCCCCTCCCCACGCTCCCTCCGGCTCAGAGTCCCAGCGGCCTTCAGAGGCTCGAGGTTCAGATGCTTCCTACCTCGGCCCAGGAGTCCCGACAGGCGCCACATGTCGCCAGCACCATAGAGAGCTCGAGCCAAAATGACTAGGCCAGAGCTTGGACCAGCGGCTAGAGCGGCCGCGGGGGTGCTGCGCGGCTGACTGCCCACGCAAGCCCTGGGCCACCCAATGAGGGAGAAGCCCCGCCGGAAGGACGCGCGCCCCAACAGGAAGAGGGCGTGGGGCGGAGTTGGGGCTCGCGGGGCGGGGCGGGGCGGGGTGGTGGTGGTGTGAACTGTTCCCCGGCGTGGAGTGGAAGCCGGAGAAGACGCAGCCATGAACGCTTCACCCGAGTCGGGAGAGCGCGCAGAGGGGACCCGCAGGTGGCGAAGCCTAACTGCCCAAGGCAAGTGGGGCTCGAGAGGACCTACAGACACCCTGGACGTGCGGAGGGGAGAAGGCTCCCTAGGCCCCAGAGCTCGTTGGCTCGAGGAGAGGGGCCTTTCGCTCCTGGAGGTAGCCAGTTATCCGAGCTTCCCGCCCAGGGCCGTCTGCTTCGAGATGCCCTGCCTGGCCTGTGTAGACGATGAAAACTGCACAGGGTAGGGTTGTATTCCTGGGTTCTAGCTCTGGCTCAGCGTTGGCTCATTCTGTAGCCTCAGGCCGATCCCGTCTTTCATCCGGGCTCAGTTTGTGTGGTGTTGGGATCACATGGGAAAACCTAACAGGTTGAAACTCCTAAGGTGCTCCTTTCAAAATACCAGAGAGACGACACACACCCTGTTAATCAGAGCCCTCATCTTCAGACCCAGCCAGTGTTACATGTGTATTCTTTTGTGGAAAAGAATAGTTCCCCTTTCACCACACTTGAATCCATGAAATAAAAACACTCAAATTCAAATGTAGGATGTACAGACTTCCTCCCTTCCTCTTCCCCCAGATATGTGACTTAGGTGGGTGAAAGTGCCTAAAAGGGGTAAAGGAGTAACGGTTTCACCTACTTTTAGGCACAGGCATGTCCTGTGAAAGTTGTATTAATTTGTCAAACGAGTTTTGAGCCGTGTCAGCCACCATCTGAGAAGACAGATGAGTAAAGAGCATTTGTGGCTTCCAGGAATGCGTGGTCCAGTGGATTATGAGTGGACTCTGGAGTCTCACAAATCTGGGTTTGAATCCCAGCTTTCTAATTTTCTAGGTATGTTATCTTGTGAAGGTTCCTTAACCACACTAAGCCTCTTCATCTATAAGAGGGAAAATTGCAGGGACTTCATGCAACGGTGAAGCTTAAATAAAATAATACATTTAAAATGTTTAGCTTAGTTTCTGACACATAGTACACACCCAATAAATGTAATTGCTATCAATTACAATAGTGGAGTAGACATGTAAGAGATAATGTTCTTATAGAAGCAGGAGCACTGGGTTGTGGAAGGATTCAGATTACATTTGAGCTGGGCCTTTAAATATGAATAAGAGTTTTCCAGATGGGGAAGAGAGAAAGACATCACAGGTAGCAAAAACAATAAAAAGAGCCCAAGACTTTGAATATTGGCAAACTATTCCAAAAAAAACCCTTGTTTTGGGATTTGGGACAGCCACCTTCACACTGTTTATGTTACTCCCTCCAAATAAAATGAGAAATATGCTGGATTTGGCTCTGTTCCTCCTGGGACTTCCGTACCCTTCTCTCTTTTAGCCTGTCTGTATTTTGTTTTGTTTTTTGGTACTGGGGATCGAACTTGGGTCCTTGCGCTTGCACAGCAGGAGCTTGTCTGTATTTTGCTTCCTACTTCAGGGCTTAGCCCAATCCCAACTCTGCAGTGAAGACCCCCAAACTGCTTGAGCCTTTACTGCTGTCTACTTTTCCTAATTTCTGTAACACTTAATTTCTTTTTCTTTCTTTCTTTCTTTCTTTTTTTTTTTTTTTTTTTTGGTACCAGGGATCAAACTCAGGTCCTTGCACTTGTGCAGCAGGTGGCAAAACCACTGAGCTAAATCCCGGGCCTAGCGCTCAATTTCTTACTCCACATTTTAGCAGTAATTATATGTTGCCCCGTTATTTAATTGTCTTATTTGTGTTAGTCTCCCTAGTTGTCTCCCTAGTTGTCTCCCGCAGGGCAGGGATAGCATTTTCCTACTTTGTGTCCCTCATGGGGCTTGACATAACTGTCAGGCCATAGAATATGTTCAAGTAATACAGGTTGACTTGACCTAACACCTTGTGCTGATCATGATTGCAGCCAAGAACACCAGAGCCAGCATAGGATTTACTGACTGGAGTGGGAATTGAGGGCCCTCCCTGTTTGAAGTTAAAGGGTTTTGAAGATGGTGTGAGAGTTGAGAATGTAGCTCAGTGCCACAGCACCTGCCTGGCAAGTGTGAGGCCCTGAGTTCAATTCCCATACTAAAAAAAAAAAAAAGATGCTGTGCCACTTGCCTGTAATTCTAGCACTTTGGGATGCTGAGGCAGGAGGATCACAAGTTTAAGTCCTACTTGGGCAAATTATCAAGACCCTGTCTCAAAAAATAAAAAGGACTGGACTGAATTCAATCCCTAGTACCATACCCCCAAAAAAGGTTTTGAAGGAGAGGATAAAGCACTGTCCCTATGCATAAATGACTCAACAGACTACTTGAGTGAGGGGTAGATGATGAAGGCAGCCGGATCTCTCATTGCTAAGTCAAATCACTTGTTCAGTGTTGCCCACAGCACTCAGGAATAACAACCTGTTTACTTCTAGTTTTGGCTAAACCACCACACATTCTTTTCTCCTGCTCTGTGTTGGTGGGTTGTGGCCTAAAGTCAAGTTGATTCAATCCCTCTGCAAAAGTAAGCTGCCTTACACTGGGAGCCTATTGTACAGGGGCCCGCCCAGTTAATCACCTCTTTTTTTTTTTTTTTTTTTTTGGTACTGGGGATCGAACTCGGGTCCTTGCACTTGCAAGGCAGGCGGCTGAACCACTGAGCTAAATCCCCGGCCCAATCCCCTCTTAAAATGTGTACACAAGCCCGCCACAGGGAGTCTTCGAGACATTAGTTGTTGCCTTGGTTTTTGTAAGCATTTTTTTTTTTTGGTACCAGGGATCGAACTTGGGTCCTTGGGCTTGTGCAGCAGGTGTCGAAACCACTGAGCTAAATCCCCGGCCATTTGTAGGCATTCTTAATTTGCATTAATGAAACATGTGAAAACTATATTGGTGTTTAAGAATGTCCAGAGTATATGACAATTTTAAAAACTGGGTGTGGCGGGCTGGGGATTTAGCTCAGTGGTTCCACTGCCTGCTTCACAAGCACAAGGTCTCAAGTTTGATCCTCAGTACCAAAAACAAAAAACTGGATGTGGTCTCTGACCTCACAGAGAAAATAGTATAGTGGAGCTGGGCATGGTGGCCCATGTATGTAATCCCAGCACTTGGGAGGCTGAGCCAGGAGGATTGCCATGAGTTCGAGGCCAGCCTGGGCTACGTAGTGAGACCCTGTCTCTAAAAACGAGGGCCAGGGATTTAGCTCAGTGGTTCTGCTGCCTGCCTCGAAAGCTCAAGGTCCCGAGTTTGATCCTTGGTACCGAAAAAAAAAACGAAAACAAAACAACAAAAAAGTATAGCCGGGCAAACAGTCAATAGGCAATTAAAATACAGAATGTTGTTTTAGTTATATATTGCAGCATAACAACCACTTCAACTTTGGCCTAAAACAATCATCTGATCTCTCACAGTTCTGTGAATTGACTGGGCTCAGCAGGGCAATTCTGCTGGCCTCACTTATGGTCTCTCGTGAGGCAGCAGTCAGATGGCAGCAAGTGGGACACTGCAAAGGCTGGGCCTTTCTCCTCCACGTGACCTCACGGGCTCTCTGTGCCACATGGCTTCTCCAGCTGGGTAGCTGAGCTTTATGATGGTTCAGAGCTTCCAAAATACAAAAGCGGAAGCTGCCAGGATTCTTAAGGCTTAAGCCTGCAACCCACACAGCACCACCTCTCCTGCACCCTGTTGGTTAAAGCATTTTACAAGGCCAGCCCCAAATTGGTATGGGAGGTGAATACTGGGAAATGTGGTTCTTCAGAGATCAGCAAGTTCTATAATGGGGGATATACAGGATGCTATGGGAACCCCAGGGGAGGCCTAGGCATGGAAGTCTTGAAGGCTTTTTGGAAGCAGCAGTGTCTAAAACTGACCAACCTGAATGGTGAGGATTAGGAACTAGCTAGAAGATGAAGAGGAAAAGCACAGTTCAGTCAGGGGAACACAGTTGGTACAGAGTCACAGAGAGGCAAGAAAGCGCAATTTAGCAAAGGACACACAAGCCAAGATCACTGTAGCTGGGGTAAGCATAGACAGGATAGTGACTGGCCTTTAATTTGGAGAGAGGTAAATGGGGCTGGGCATATCGGGGAAAGATTTCAGCAGGAGAGTGACCAAGTAGGTCAGAGAATCCAAGAAAGATTGCCGAGTGGGAGATGGATTAAAGAAGGTTAAGTCCTCATTTTCACCTTGTCCCTTCTAGGCCAGTGACCTCACCTTTGTCATTGAGGAGGCTGGGTCATCACCTGAGCACTGATAGTAGTTCTTTTTGCTTTTTATTAGTGAGAGTTTTTATTGTAAAAGAATACAAAGAGATGGAGAGGGGATGTAAGAGACAGGAAATGTAAAACGAATTAAGATGCTATGCACATGTACCAACTCACCACGATAAATGTAATCATTATGTACTGCAAACATATACTAATAAAAATTAAAAGTTGAAAGAAAAATAATAAAAGAATGCAAACTCCCTTATGTAAGGTTTTTTTGGGGGGTGGTACGGGGGATCGAACTTGGGACCTTGCGCTTTCGAGGCAGGCAGCAGCACCACTTAGCCAAATCCCTGGATAAATTTTTTATTTTTTGAAGAACATGTAGAAAATCTGCTACCTGATAAGGATCTGGACCTGAGGTTGGTCAGGTGGTCAAACAATTTATACTTAAGTGTGAAGTGTGTAAAAAAAAAAAAGCCTGCTGATAGGGAGTGGAGAGCATGCCAAGCTCAATGGATTTGACCCCCTCAGATAAAAAGATGTATGAAATTGAAATTATCTCTTCATTGCTAATGAAAAGATAATGTAAAGGAGGGCAGGGAAGGTCATTGAAAGATCTCCTACTCTAGTAAAAAGTCAAATAGTCCTAAAGGTTTATTTCAAAAAACAGCAGACCTCTGCTACCTGTCTCTGTACCCTCTAGTCCTATTTCTTAGAGGTGACTATTTTCAACTCTCTAAAGTGTCAAGAAGCGGCACACAAGGGCAGGGCTTCTGGAATTGGATTGTTTGACATCCAATACCGCTCTCCCACTCACTGTCCAGGTTATCTTGGTCAAGTTGATTAGAACATTTTCCACCTCAGCTTTCTCATCCATAAGATGGGACTAATGATAATTGTACCCTTCTCATGAGATCACATGTTTAAATTTCCAGGTGCATAGTTAATGAACAGTAGCTACATGTGGTGATGATGATGTGATGATGATGGTACAGAATCTAACTTGAAAGCAGCTCCAAATACCCTTGGATGTTAGTTGCACACTATACAAACAAATGTAAGGCGTGATTATGTTTTGGAGGAAATGAAAAGAACGTAGACTCAGTTGGAGAGGTCTGAGTCTTCCCTTTGTTCTAAGGCCAAACTCTGTTTGTTATCAGTCCCATTCCCTTCCTGTCTTTTCTAAAACTTTGTCACTATAATTATCCTGACCCTCATGTGAAAGCTTGCATCTCTTTACTCTTTTTCTTTTTTTGGTACCAGGGATCGAACTCGGGTCTTTGCGCTTGCGAGGCAGGCGGCAGAACCACTGAGCTAAATCCCCAGCCCAGATTTCTTAATTAACACACACTCTGCCTCCCATTTCTGCATAACTTCCCTGCTTTCTGGTCTTGTCTCCCAGCTTTTAGACCTGTTTTTCTGATGCAGGAGTCAGTAGGATAATCAGAGCCCACCTAAATAATCACTCGGGGGCCTTTGGACCCAGAGGACTTGACTCAGTTGACCATTCACACCTTAAATCTTACACATAAAACCATCCTCATCATCCCATTTCCTTATTTCCATCTATTGTACCCTTTCCCCCAAGCCATCAGGAAAGAAATCTCGAACTCAGGGGTAGCTCAACAGCCCTCCCTGTCCTCCCCCAATATTAGTTTTGACTCTTACTGCAAATGCTAGAAATTCATTGGAGCTAGTCTTTGAAAAAGTTTAAGTGGGCTACAGAGGAATGACATGGTCCATCTAATGGACCTCAAGGGCAAGAAGTAGCCAGAATCCAGGAAAGACCAGAACTATAGACTCTGGCCAACAAAATGAGCCCCTCCCCTCCTCTGGCCTATCTTCCGGATTTCTTATGATCTGCACAGACACTCCAAAGGTGTCAGACACCCCCACCCACAGCCAGTTACCAGGTCTGTAAAAATCACCATCTTGCGTCAGACCCTTGGATGTGTCTCTTCTCCAGCTTCCTTTGTATTGCATTTCCCTCATTTGTTTACCTCCTGATCATCTTTCTGCTTCTGTCACTGCTTCATCCTCTGACCCCGAATGCAAGCATTGCCCACATTTCCTTTCTATGTCGTTTGCTCTCTTCTGGATCTCACTTCTGTTCTATTAACTCCTAAGTGAGAGTAGAGTGATTAGATGCTTGGGTTCTGGAATTCTAATGGCCTGAGTTTGACTCCACTAATTTCTAATTGTGTGAACTTGGGAGAGTTATGAGTTTTTGAGTAATTCTTCATCTGTGAAATGGGGTGCATATAAAGGGCTTGGTATGATCCCTGGAACACAGAAAGGACTCAATATATGGTGACAATGATTAGCCTTACCTTTGTACTCTTTCCTGAGTTCCAGTCCTATACTACCTGCTAGATTTTTTTACTAGATATTCTGCTGTGACGTCCCATCTATTTGTCAGAATTCTCCAGATACTGGGGGAATGATGCAGGAGCACCCCCTCCTGACCACAGGCCTCAGTGGAGGAGATCCTGAAGAGCAGTTCTCCTGTAAACTCTCAAACCCTGGCCAAGTCTTCCACCCAGATAGGCAGACAGGACTGGCATTAGAGAGCATATGAGGAATGAGAATCCAACCTTTTAAAAAGCTACCCATAGCTGGGTGTGGTGATACACATTTATAATTCCAGCATTCTGGGAGGCTAAGGCAGGAGGATTACAAGTTCAAGCCCAGCTTGGCCAATTCAGAGACTTACCAGATCCCTGCCTCAAAAAAAGAAGCCCACCGAGTGATAAGAGGGGAGGAGGGGGACAAAAAAAGAATGAAAATGTGTTATGTACATGTATCAGCTCCCAATGATGAATGTAATCATTATGTACTGCAAACATACACTAATAAAAGTTTTAAGTAAAAAATTTTCATTTTAGGAAAAATCAAAACAAAAAAAGAAGCAGCAGCTCCCTGAGGTGAGATATAACAGCAGCTGCAGTGCTTGGGTAGGGTGTGAAGGGCGAGAAGACACCTAGGGCTGTCTGTTAGGCTCAGGCTGGGCCTCCCTCAAGAGCTGGGAATTTGGCACACAGGATCCAGAATTGCTCCCGTTTTTAGCTGGGCTCCTGCAGGTCTCCTTTGCACCCTTGTGAACACTCCTCATTAGGCTCCATGTGTGGAGTGGGATATACAGCTTTCCCTGGCCTCTCTGTCCTGCTGTCTACACCCATTCTCTGGTCCTGGGTGGTGGCATTCCTGTGACAGGGACCTCAGAGGGGGCAGTGCCTCACTGCTACCATCACCGAGCTGGGAGAGGGGGCATGCAGGGTTACCTCACAGCCATTTGCTTTGAGGCAGTGTGGCCAGATAGTTCAGGGGTCTGGCTCTGACTCAGAGTGGGCCATTTGAATCCTGCTTTTTCAGCCCTCAGTGAGTTGCTTCATTGCTTTATGGCTCATAGTACAGTAGGGGCAATGATAGGCCTGTCTGACAGTTGTGAGTTTTAGTAATATAGGAAAGCACTCAGCTTAGTCCACATACACCACTTGGTGCCAAGGGCCCTGTCCTTGTAGGAATGGCCATCCCCATTACACACTCACACACACACACACACACACACGAGTGCGCATGCACACACAGCCTGATTATTACCCTATCTCTATTGTCCTCTGTTCACATGTCTGTCCTGACCTTGGGATTATGAGCTCTATGAGATCACAGATAGAATTGTGTAGGTCTGTGTTCTTAGTGCCAAGCATGGGACCTGGCACACAGACCATCTTATTGAATGTTTACCGTTAAGAGGAACTGGTGAAACCATACAGAAGACCCAGGATTCCCACTGGCCTCAGAGTCCCACCATCCACTCTGGTCACTCACCACAAATGGACAACCTGGGCAGTCACTGTCCTGGATTGGGCATATTGCAGTGTACATAACAGGCTGGGCTCCTGGTCTCATGGAGTGAACTGTCCAGGTGATGGACAGTAAGATTATAATAGAACTGATGATGTATCTCAATTGGAAACCTTGCAGGGGAGGAATAGCCAGATTGCTATGACAGCACAGGGCAGAGGGACCACACTTTGGGGAGGGAGGAATCAGGAAAAGTTCCCAAATGATGTAACAAATATGCTGAGGCCCAAAGAAAGAGCAGAGTGGGTTGAGCAGAAGACGAAAAAGGGCCTTCCAGGTAGAAGGAACACACAAAGGACCTAAAGCAGAAGGGAACATGGTTACCTGGTAGAAGTCAAGGTTGATGCAGCTGGAGCCCAGTAATGAATGGAATCAGTAGCCCTATAAGGAGGGGAGCTGGGAGTATGGGTTATACAGAGCCTTATGGGCTCTGGTGGAAATTTAAGCTTTTGTTCTAATGGTAGAAGCTAATATTGGGCTGGGGATTTAGCTCAGTGGTGCTGCACCTGCCTTGCAAGTGCAAAGTTCTGAGTTCAACCCCTAGTAACCTCCCCCAAAAGAAGCTAACATTAATTCAATAGTGTGCACATGTGCACTGTACTAAGTATTTTGTGTGTGTGTTTCCATTTACTTTTCCTCCTGGCCCCTGGTGCTATTATTCCCATTTTACAGATGATGAAATCCTGACTCAGAAAGGTAAACTTGCTCAAGGTCACACAGTTGTGGCAGAGTCAGGACTTGAACCCAGACACCAGCATCCAAAGTCTGACCTCTTAACCCCTGCGTGGCCCAGGCTGAGAATTAAGGTAGACTTCAAGTTGTAATGCACATTTCTCCTCTGCCTTTCGTCGCCACTCCCTTTCCTCCAGATTGGGAGAACCCGTACACAGGTTCCCTGTGGCCAGTTGGGCTCCCCGGGCTTGACCGCCTTCGGGAGTGGCCACAGATTACCATGGCCGGGTCCCCAACCACGTGGCCTCCGGGACGCTGGCGCCGCGGAGCCACCCAGCACGGCTGCAGCGCGGTGGGCGCCTGTGTGCGCTCAGGCGGTGCCGCAGCAGCTGTGAATCCGGTGGCAAATCCACCTGAGGGTGGGCAGGGAGGGCCCCCTTCGTGTCCGGCAGGGGGCTCTCTGTCCTCGCGCTCCCGGGGCCCAGCCTGCAACCTCGCTGCCTGCATCACGTACCCTGCAGCCTTGAGGGGGAAAGCAGCCATCATTTCTGATTAAAAACGACTATTTTAAAATGGGTTTCATTCTTTATTTCTTTCTGTCCTCTCCCAGGGCCAGATAGAGGCGGAAAGCGACACCGAGAATCCATTCCAAACGAGCAGCCAAGAGGAGACGAGGCAGCTCCCAGATGTTGATGCTTTGTTTTTTGACATAAATCTTTGCACTCATGTGGGAGTTTTCATTGATTCATGTTCCCATCTGCTGAATTTCCTTTTATTTATTTAATATGGCTTTTTGGGGAAATCTTGCTCCGAAGCTCTGGAGGGGCATAAACCGTGGCAACCGCTGCACCCCTCCTCCCTCCTGCCAACCTCGGCTGGGGGAGGGGGGTCGGTGGTGTCCAGAGGGGAGCGCGGCTCTGCGCCCTCGCTGGGTGGCAGGCGCGACCGCTTGGTTACTTGGGGTCTGCCAGAGGCTGTAAACCAAGGAAGAAAGCAAGCGAGAGACAGATTACGCCGTGTATCTGCTTCATGTCCTTCCCTCTCATCCACAATAACGCGTTTCCTTCGTGCTAAAACCCTACTCTCGTTTTAACAGTTTGGAAACCAGGAAATATCTAACGGTGGATGTCCCTATTCATTGCGATAGCTCTATCTCCTCCCCTACTTGTCCCACATCCCTCGGCCCCAATACCCCGATCCACTCTTAGTGACAAACACCAACCAGCTCTGGAGTCAGACTTCTGGGCTTGAATCCTGACTCTGCTTTTTATAGTGGATTCCTGAGCAAGTGAGCTGCTCGGAGCCTGGCATTCTGTATCTGTAAAGTGGAGATAATTACTGCTTTCCAGCTACAGGTACATTTTACAGATGAGGAACAGGCTGAGACTAGTTAAGAGCCTGCCCAGCTGCTCCTCACTCAATCCCGTCAACCGGCCAGCCCACCACCCCAGGTTTTCCGGATAGACCATCTGCAGGCCAGAGAGGGAGGCCTTCTTTTCCAGGTCGCAGAAGAAACAGAGAAAAGTTAATGGTTCAGAACGCTCTGCTCTTTAGAACTATATCCATCTGACCTTAGATTATAGACTTGGGCTTGAAAGGAAGCTAGAGGTCGTGTTACCCAGTTTCTTACCTAATCTATGCAGGCCTCACCCACAGGCACAGTGACAGCCTTTTCTATTGAGGATGCCTGTAGGTCTTTGGAGATCCAGACTCTCCAATAAGACTAGTGGAATGTAAGAAACTATACTTTCCACAAACCAAGGCCCTTAAGACCTACCTATCCATGTCAAGGCCTAGGATTTTAATTACCAAGGCCTAGGGCTGTTATGTCCAGTCCTGAGTGGAATGGAGTTTCCAGACATCACCTGAAGTGTGAAGCTAGTCCATAGCACTACCCTTTGTGGGCTACATTACTTCCTTTTATCTGTCTATTCCACCCCATCCAACTTTCTCTGCCTGTATTATGTGGATCTCCTTGTTGGGTGGAAGATAGCTGGATAGCTGAGTCCAGTTGGTTCTAATCTCATCCCTTCTGTGCCTGTGGCCTTAGCCATCATCCATGCAGCTCTTTTCTGGAACCCCTAAACATGATAAGCAGGCACGATGCCTTTGTGTGTGTTTGGTACCTTATGGGAAGTAAACCCTCAAAATATGTTTAGTGAAGAAAACTAGATGATGTAAAGGGCACTTCTGTTTACTTTACTTGACAAACATCTAGGATGAAACCATTGACTTTTTCTAGAACTAAATCCTGCTCATTAGTTCCATGACTTACCCTTGAGATTGCCATGAGCTAGAAGAGAAAAATTTTTAGTCAAAGTAAACAGGGAAGAAATAAGCTCAAAAATAATGAAGAGTGGATAGGTGAGTAATATAGTAAAGTGGCTAATTATCCACCAAAATCTATTTCAACCTTTTCTAAGAGAAATTGAACTGGAGTGTGGGTATCCAGCCAGGGACTACATTGTCTAGACTGCCCTGCAGCTAGATAGGGCCACAGGAGTTAGTGAAGGAGTGGTATGGGACCAGCTCATGCCCATGAAAACTAGCACATAAGTGGGCTGGGGATTTAGCTCAGTGGTTCTGTTGCCTGCCTCACAAGTGTAAGGTCCCGACTTTGATCCCAGGTACCAAAACAAAACAAAACAAAACAAATCCTTACATATAAGTGAAGTCTTGGACATACTCCCATTCTTTTATTAGCTGGGTCTCAGACCTAGCAGCAATCAGGCCACAACCATGTACCCTACAACAAAGTGATAATGTAACCTTGATTTCTAATGATTCCTGTGGAACAGGACTCCTGCAGAACTGAAGAAACACTCTCTGCAGATCATTATGTGAGCAAGAAATGACCACGTACATATTTTAACTGAATTATTACTGGCTTTCTGGTTGAATATACCTTAATTAAAACAGAAGGCAGATAGTGAGTTGCTCAAGAGCACGGGTTTTGAAATCAGATGGGCTTGATTTATATCCCAACTCCTCCTGTTGTAACTTGTGACCATGAGCCACTGATGGACATTGCTGAGCCTCAGTTTCCTTGTCAGTAAAATGAGAGGGATTAATATAACATTTATCATAACCACTTGGGGAAATAGTCTTCAGACTTGGTCATTAAACTGAAGATATTAGTAGTCCATGGGAGTTCTACTATTAATTATATACCCCTAGAGAATTCTGGACCCCAACACATCAACTCATGTACAGAATGTCCTTAATGTCCAAAAGAGGGAAAGAAGCCAAATGCCCATCTATTGTGAGTGGAAAGGTCAATTGTGGTATTTTCCACAAAGGGATGTACAGTAATGAACATCAATTAACTTCAGATACATGAAATGACATAGATGAATACATTTCACAAAAATGAGAGTAAGTTTTAAAAACTCAAAAGAATATAGTATATACAGTATGATTTCATCATTTATATTTCTAAAAAGAAAGCAAGGTGGCCCAGGGGTGTAGCTCAGTGGAAGAGTGTTTGCCTAGCATGCATGAAGCCCCAGGTTCAATCTCTGGCACCAAAAGGGGGGGGACATTTTCATCACAGATATATTTCATATATTTAATATAAGTACATTATAGTAGAAATTATTTATTAAACTGTACATATACATGTTTTAGATAACTTCTGTTTACATATTTCACAGTTAAATTCTTAAGACATAACTTAGCCAGGCACGGTGGTACATGGCTGTAATCCCAGAACTTGGGAGGCTGAGGCAGGAGGATCACTGCAATTTCAAGGCCAGCCAGGGCTACACAGTGAGTTCAGGGCCAGCCTGAACTAGAAAGCGAGACCCTGTCTCAAAAAAAAAAAAAAAAAAGACATAACTTACCTGGTAAGATTGCATGATAATTGAATGAGGTGATGCACAGTTCTAAGAGAGCAGGTGCATAGCAGGTACTCAACGGAAGTGACTCTTTTCATGTTGAGGGAAAGATTTGAGGCCTTGGAGAAGGCAGCATAATTAGCCAATGATAAAATTAATTAAGAAAAGGTACTTTCTTTTCTTTGAAGCACATTGACTCTATTTTTGTGGATCCTGGGTGAAGGTACACTTGTACAGGGGTGGGAAATATTGATTGATTTAGTGTTAATTGATGGTCACAAACTTAAGTAGAATTGAAAAACTACTCTGCTTCCAAGAGGAGACAGAGGGAAGTGGCGGGGTGGGGGCGGGGGGGGGGGGGTCCTACCAAGCCTGGATGAGACAGGTAAGAGCAATGAGGAGAAATCACATTTGTGCTGGAACCAGGTCTGAGGCTCCAGCCATCTCCACCCTCACCCTCTTGGCTGCATCATGCTCTCTGCAGTGTGGATGAGGCCTCAGAAGCCAGCACAGGCTACAGTGGGTTGGCCCGGGCCAGGCTCGGGAATGGGGAGGGAAGCCATTCTGCTGACTTTGTGCTCTAAGGCAATGTAGAAGCAGCCAAGAGTAAGAGCAATCACCCAGCCAAAAGGCACTGTGATCAGCCAGACAGGCCAGAAAAAGTTGGCCGGAGTCAACGAGCTAGGAGATGCCAGTAGAGTTGTGTACCTCTGGATGTGAGCCTCGAGGGTCTCAAAAGCAAGACTGCCCCACCCAGGCTTGGCCACGGGCTCTTAGATGCTTCCTCAAGGGGAGCCCAGTTTGGGATACTGGGGAAGGCTCTTTTCCCAACTGTCTCAGTCTGTTTTCTGCTGCTATAACAGACCATAGCACAGACTGGGAAAATTACAAAGAGTAGAGGTTTATTTGATTGATGGTTACCATGGGAAATCCAAGACTGAAGGGCTGCATCTGACGACTGCCTTCTTGCTATACCATAACATGATGGAAGGGCAAGCAAGCATGCATGAGACAGAGAAGATGAGCCCATGGTATTATAATCCCACTTTCACCATGCCCTCTTGTCTCAACAACCACTTCAACTGTTACAATGGCAATTAAATTTCAACTTGTGTTTTAGAGGGGACATGCAAACCATTGCATCAAATGATTTCCAGCCTGTGGACTGACACATTTCCTCGTGGAGTGAAAATCATAGATAAGGACTTTTAAGCCTTGGACCCATCACTAGGACTGTGAATTCTTGGGCCTGAGACCCCTTTGGATTTTTCCCTTCTACTCTGATCCATCCTACTTAATCCAATTCAGTTACTCAATTCACTTCATGTCTATTGAGCACGTGTAAGGTCCAGATGCTATTTCAAGATGCTGAGGATATTATGATGAGTAAGGAAGACATAAGACTACCCCCATAGAGTTTGGAGTCCAGGAGAAAGAGGTACAGCATAAGTAATTACAATTATGATGTGCATTTGCAAAAAAGACTCTCAGTAATCTATGGAAGAGAATTTACAGGAGGTTTAACATAGCCTTGTGAGGTTTCTCAAATATGGACCATCTACATCAGAGGCATCCAAGGTGCTTGTTGACAATTCACATCCTGGGCTCATGCCAGATGTACTGAGTCAAAAGTTCTGAAAATGGATCCCAAAGAATCTTTTTTAAAAATTAGGTAAACTTACATAACAAAAAGCAGACACTTTAAAGTGTATACTTCAGTGGCATTTAGTACATTCACAGTATTGTGCAATCACCACCTCTGTTTAGTTCCAAAATATTTGCACCATCTCCCAAAGAAACTCCATACTCACTAAGCAGTAACTCCCTTACCTCCATCTCTCAGCTGCCATAACCTGCTTTCTATGGGTTCATATATGCTGGACATTTCAT